GTAGCCTTTCTGTAATCTTTTAGTTTTACAATTTATGATTTTTACTTATTGAATACAGTAAAAAAAATTGCATATTTTGCTTGTGGTGATTCATAATTAGAATTCTGATTTGAATATATTTTCCACTCGTTTCTAATAAAAAAAATATTAACTTTATTTGGGTTTATTAATTATGATCTAACAAATCTTATTCATTTAGTAGCCTTTCTGTAATAATAATCTTTTTACAATTTATGATTTTTATTTATTGAATACAGTAAAAATTGGACACCATGTGTATTTAAAGTAGTTTCCGTTCCGGTTATTATTTTTAGTTAGGACTTGTCTATGTTTAGATTTCATTATCTTTCCCTAAAGATAAAGAATTTATCCGATGTTTGTATTCGTACAATCAGTAGAGATCGTTAGATTATTGTTTAAGGTTGACGGACACGCATGTCTGAATTAGTTTTTTTTTTTTTTACGAATTGGTCAAACCCGAACTCAAACAAAAACATTGTTTTCAATTGTTATGAGTCTCCTGATTGAATAGAATTTTATTATAAATAATTGTCTTGTAAATGGAATGTTTAAAGCATTCTGAATGTTAAAAATAAAGAAAAAAGTGTGCAAGAGAATAAGAAACACTACTTGCCAAAAAAAAAAAAAGAAAAGAAAAAAGTGAAGTTTTGTTTTATCGGCTGAAAAATATAGGAAATCTGCTCCCATATTTAAAGGGACCCACACACACAAACAATCCGATGTGAATTGTCCCCCTTCCATTTTCACGACGTCTCTTAATCGTGTTTTCAAATTGATTTTGTGCAAAAACAATTATATTTTTCCTATTTTTGGCGCTGTTAGAACCACCACACGGTAATTTTATGTAGTCCTGTGAAGTTTTGTTGAAATCGGTTGAAAAATGTAGGAAATCCGATACAATATATAAACGTTACAGACACACACACACAATCCGCGTTTTATAAGTAAGATATATATATATATATATATATATATATATATATATATATATATAACTTCAAACGTTACTATTTTTAGTGGATACCCGTGTTTGAGTAGACGTTCCGTTTTTATTTTAAATAGTATATATTTCGTCTACAAGCCTGCACGTTTGAGAAAACTTATAAAAGAAAATGCGCCCTTCAGCAGAATTTCAACCTGCGTCCTCCTTTGAAGGAGAAACCACTTTCTGATCCAGCATATACTTTAACCACTCAGCTACGAAGCAAGGTTCTGTTCGCCATTAAAGCAGTCTCATTCGTTCAGAATTCCTTGAGAGACCATATCTGCTCAGTTTCGTATCCAAAATGTAAGCAAAGCAGTTTATAAAGAATTAATGCATTTTATTTTTTGATCTGGCATATTTTTATTACTGCAAAAACGTTATTTTTTTAGTGCATACCTGTATTTGAATAGACACCCTGTTTTATTATAAACTGATTTATTTCGTCTACCGGCCTGTATACCCGAGAAAACTTATTAAAGAAAATGTACCCTCCGGCAGAACCATCGTCCCCTTTGGCTGTTAGTGTTATATTGAATGCAAACTAATATTTATTTATTCAAACGATATTTTTAATGGATATCCGTATTTGAGCAGACGCTCAGTTTATTTTAAACAGTATATATTTCATCTACCGGCCCGCTTCCTCGAGAAAACTTAACAAAGAGAAGAAGTCTTTTGGCATGATTTCCCTTTGGTCCTGTGTTCTTTCTACCGCTCGGCTACAGCAACAAATAAATTACACTACAGTTTTATTTTGTCATTAAAGCACAGAGATTCATTCAGATCTCGATAATGAGATGTTAAATTTAAAACTAAAAAAAATACATGAAAAAAAACAACACTTTCTCTTGAAAATCATGCCAAAATTAAATATTTCAATCCGGCCAAAACTATTAAAGGGAAGTAACTGCTACATGATTAAAAATATCTAAGGGGAGTAACTGGTGTGATTTATGGCTATATCTCGGTTCCCCCCAAAAATAAAACAATTTTTATTGAGATTTCGAGATTTTTAACTATTAACTTCTTTGATTTTGTTTTATAACGCTTCGACTTGGCTATTCTCCGACCCTCTTCAAGTGAACATTATAGTCTATTGATCATCATTTATACTTCAATTCAGCCCCCAGATTAAAAATTCTTATTAAGATGGGTAAGAAAATGTTAGTTAAATATTATTGTTTTTAAATCATTTCACCACAAGCAAGACAACAAAGCCACTGAGGTGCAAGGGGGGGGGGGTTACTGTGTTTGAAAGAATGTAAGTAAAATAAAAACATTATTAAGGAGCAAGAACAATAAAAGAACAGAAATTAAGAAACAGAAGATAATAATTAGCAAGAAGCCACGAGTACCACAAGTGATAAGTGTGAGAACAGAAACTGTTAGCAAAGAACTTATGGTTACATCTCTAGCCATTTCAACTGTAAAATAATCATGGCCATCGCTTCTTACCCCAAAAGCCTCAACAGGGAGGGTTTTTTTTTTTTTGGCGCCGTTTTGGCCTCTGCCATTTTTTCTGTACTGTTTTATGACCATCCACCATCTTTTTAAATTATTTTTAAACTGGTGTTACATTGTCAATAATCAGCTAATAATATGCATCATGTATCTGCATGGGTGGTGTGATGTTTATTATGCTGGAACCCCCAATGAGGCTGGAGCCTCAAAAGGGATAATTCCCTGACTTTTGGTAATTTAAAAAAAGCACTGCCCTTCCCACCTCAGTTTTCTTTCGAGGGTTTGTGGCTCCCAGGTTGGAAACTTTGAAATTGACATCTAGTGGAAAGGGAGGCCCTGTATCAAAATTTTGGGGTTTGGGGCTCACGACCCTAGGGCCGGCCCTGAAAATGATGAGACCTTGAGACCAATCTAGTATTGTACAATCTAGTACTCTAATTTATAGAGACTAGGTACCATAGGGCAAAGTTCATGAGAACAATTACCATGAAAGTATTTATAGAAAAGGCAGAGGGAAGCCACATTATGGCATTGGGAAAGTGACTGAAGCTGAAATACCAGGTCAAGACCAATAACATTGTAGATACTTTTATATTTTTATCAAGGATCTCTAAATAGCACCAAAGCATATGTGGCATCAATATTCAAAGCATGGATGAATGGTAGACTTTTAAATATGTAAATTAAATTCTCATGAGAAACATTGTCTAGCATGACACAGTGAACCAAGCAGAAACCACCTTGTTTTGTGCAAAATTAATCCTGGTCCTGTCTGAACAAGAAACATGGCTATGTGTATGAATATAGTGTGAAAGGGCAACATTTTGATTATGCCATTATTTTCTCTTCGAGTTACATGTGCTGTCCATTTCAGTTGTTGCTGCTGTTGAAATTCCTTAAGTGATGTAGTTTCTGTTATTTGTTAATCTTATGGCTCTTTCTAGTATTCATGGGGGTTTCCTTGCTAACCTTTTATCAACATTTTGATTATGCCATTATTTTCTCTTCGAGTTACACTTGCTGTCCATTTTAGTTGTTGAAAGTCCTTAAGTGATGTGGTTTCTATTATTTGGTACAGTTTATTATTTGTAATTCTGTGGTGTAAATCCACGATCTTCAAAGAAGAAATGTCCTCACTAAAACCTACCGGGTTCATTCACCTGAAACCATTTTTAACCATTGTTCTAAGAAAGCAGCTGACAGTGATAATTTCTGAGCAGGTTTGGCACTATGCATGATATCTAGATAAAAATCATGATCTGACAAGGTGATTTAAAAATATGACTCATGTTTTTAGATTAATGTTTTGGTTTTATAACAATTTGTAGTGTTAGGTGAAATGACCCCTACCACAGCAGCCTATTCTATGAAAGGCTAATGTTTAAAACTATGCATTGTAATTTGTGTTCTTTAAGGCTTTCATATTTCTTTTTGAATTAAGAGAAATGAAAAAAAGAAAAAAAGTTAAAATAAACTAAAAATAAAAGATAGACTAACTTTGGCAGTAAAAGACTCAGTTGAAATGTTGTTAGATCACCTAACTTACCCCCTCAATTCCTGACAACTGGTAATAACTTTTTTTCTAATTTTCAATATACAACATATAAAATGAATGGCAAATAGTTGTTCTGTTATGATGTTGATTTGGGGTTAGCACAGACAAACGCCAAATAACACGTAACAATAAAAAGGGTTATAATAGGTTGGTAAAAAGGTACAGAAATTGCCTGAGTAGTCAATAACTAGCTCAGCTAAGAACTTCTCTGTCTATCTATCTTCCCCATGTCAACTGACATGCCACCATTTAAAGTCTTTGTTCACAGACACAGACAAGTTCATCTTCAAGAGGGGTGGTAGGTTTCCGACACAACATGTTCAAAGAAATTTTAGAAGATTTTCTGGTTATCAAATTTCACTTTCAGGCACAAAATTTTGATTTTGCTTATCTCTTTGTTACCTCAACTTTATGAAATTAAGTGCAGTACTAAATTATCAGTTAGGTCTCCTAATATTACAGCTGAAATTGCTAGATGTACTCATAAGTTCTGCGCTAACAGTTTCTCCTCTTGCACTTCTCGCTTGTAGAACTCTTTTCCAACTTCTGGCTCTCTAGTTAACTCTGATCTAAAAAAATTTAAATGCAGTGTCAATCATTATCGTCTATCTTCTTAATTCCTGTTCTTTTATTGTTTACTCTTCTTAATAATGTTTCTCTTTTATTCTTTCATATTATATAATCCCCTTATGTCTTAGTGGCTTTATTGCCTTGATTGGGGTGAAATAGTTAAAAAAAATAGCAAGAAGCCAGAGTAGAGTTCCACTTGTGAGAAGTGTGTGAGAAGAAACTATTAGTATAGAACTTACAGCTACATCTAGATATATCAACAGTAAAATGATGAGACCTAACTGCCAATCTAGCACTATGCTTAAATTCATGAAATCAAGGTATCAAAGAGAAAAGCTCATGAGAACAATAAATGATTGAATATTGATGCTAGGAATTTGTATTGACTGTGTATATTTTTTCTTCTAGGATTCAGATCACCTTGAATCTGAATTGAACTTTGACAAGCCGGATGTGAAAGTCATTATGAATATGGATAAGTAAGAGAAAAATTATATTTGCTTCTTTTTCTTGATGATTTCAAGATGTATATCAGTTTGGCTGCCATTGTTTAATTGATATGTATTTGAGATGTTCACTGATATAAATAACGTTCTAGGTTGACCACCTGCCAGTCATTAAATAGTTGGAAGCCGTGTGGCATATGAATAAAGAATATGATCAGAATTTATGCTATGTCCTGAGAGCTCATCTTTCATGGATGATACCTTGATAAATATGGCCAGAGAAGACTATAGCTAGATGGGTATAAATCTTGTCATATTTACAATCACAATCATGAGTTGTAAGGGCAGCACATGTACTGTGGCTGTAGCAGCAGTGGTGTATCTTGGGCAAGATAGCCTGATGGAGCTTAATCTTCTCTAGGTTGAATTCAGTTTTCCTTCTCCTAGACTGGTTTCTAACCAAGGTTATAGGGTCCAGTCTGTTCTGCTATTTAACTATAGCTGGTGGGAGAAGAGATCAATTCATACCTTTCCCAAGAGTGAATGTAACGAAATTGACTGGAATTCAAACTTAGCTCTCCAATTTCTCATTCCAAGATGCTATCCATCACACTAATGCACATCAGCACAATTGTATTGTCATCTCGTTAAATCTAAATTAGAATTACTCTAGTTAAAATTACATCTATAAAAGACAAGGTCTTGCAATATGCAATATGAGTTCAAGTCATGCTAGATGTGACGTCATGATTTCACCTGAACACTAATGATTGTGAGATAAAGGTAATGCTCTGTGGCACGTGTGGCACCTGTAGACTATTTTCTGGATACATTTGCACATGGTAGCTCATGATGCATTGACTCCAGCCTCAGGTGACTTCATATGAAGCTGCTCCAAGTTCTTGAATCAGCTTTGCTTGACAATCCACTCAAGGCTATATTAATCCCTCTTGCTTCGTCTAACTCTTGCTTCCCAATCAAATTTTCATGAATATGCTTTGATACAACACCATTTTCTTTCTTCTTTTTAATGCTTATGAATAACCTGATTGACTTTCATTGGTTATATTTTACAAATACAATCTTAATCTTTTCGTGTTTAGAGTCGACCATTATCTTTTGTACATATCATCATAATCTGCTCTTCTTTTCCTGCTTATGTTCATGCAACAACCTCATTTAGTAAACATTTACTTGTAAAGCCACAACTATGTACAATTCTCATTTTCTGAAATAATTGCCAAAAATTTTGAACTCTATCTTGAGTGGTCCTTGAGCCTTGTATTCGGTGAAAAAAAAACAAACTATGCAATTAGTATAAAAAAAAAACTATATACAATTTTCATTTTCTGAATTAACTGACAAAACTCTTGAACTCTTCCATGGCATTATTATTTTTTGAAAATTATTTCAATGTTTTGAATAGTAACAATAATTTAATCATTTATAATCATATATCTGGGTTCACCAAAGGGACTAGAATGTCAAACAGAGATATTCAAGTGTTACTCTATTACTGGTAACTCAATGATTGGGTATAAGATTCATGGTATTTTTTTCAAGAATTTTTATATTTTAACATTATTTTGATTTGTATTGTTATATATTTTATATTGAGGCCATCAGTGGACTAAAGTATCAAGCAGGGGTATTTTGGCATTAGTCAATTACTGGTAACATAATGGTCGGGTATAAAATGCAGGCTGATTTTTGAAGAAGTTTTATATTTTAATAGTATGTTGATTTGTAATCATAATTTGATAATTTATAATCATCTATATTTAATTCTGTGGTCATTAGAGGACTAATCTACTTAATTTAGATCTTAGTCTAGCATCTGAACCATTGGGATATAGATGCTAGTGATTTTTGAAAGAGATGGTTTCAAAAATATATACCTTATATTGTGATAAATATAATACAATATTTTTTTTTTATTTCTTTTGTTAAATAGTTTTATTTTTTATTACTTTCATGCCAGAGAAGTAATCTACATTAAAAAAAAAATTGCTCAATTAATTTTACTTGGATGTGAATTGCAAATCAGAGAAACTAAAATCAAACAAGTACAGAAATTTAAATATCTGGGAAGTGTTTTAACAGGAGGGAAAGACACTATTTACATTATTCGGACTATTTATCACAATGTTTTGGCTGTTGTATGCTTCGGCCTTCTTCAGGTGGTTGGAATGTCGAACTGAACCTTTTATTTCGCTTGCTGGGGTAGACGGTTCTAGTTCCACATGCCATGTCTAATGGATGTCAGGTATCAGTTATCTCCTGTTAATTCATCTTTCCAAGTTCCCCACTCCAAGTATTGAACTCACAACACTTTGGGTCCTGTCACTGGATCTAACCAATGTCTTTATCCACTGTGCCATGTGTCCTTAAGGACATCTGTGTATGAATTTGTAGAACTTATAGACGTAATGTCTTGAGCAACCATTTTTACCAGTGCTCATATTGCAAGTTTTTACTGTTATCAAAGCATATTTTTTACCAGAGCTCATATTGCAATTTTCATTGTTATTATTGCTTTTCTCTGGCACTCCTTATTACTGGTTTCCATATTGTATTTCTATGCTTGGTTGGCTCAGGAGATTTTTCTGGCCTAGAATATATGCTGATTCCTTTAGTTTACAAATTTTCCAATGATGTTCTTTGTCTATGATTTCAACCTGATCCCACAGAGGGTGATGATCTCCCTCTTCTCTCCATATGAGACAGATATTGAAGGATGGAAAGAATGACAGTGAAATTTGAAGGTCTATTGGGATAGCCAAGGAATCATTCCCAAAGCTAAGCAAAGTTAGGAGAATTTGGAAAAGAGTACTAAATTGCTATGTGGTATTTGTCCTCCTATATCGCAATGAATGCTGGGCAATCTACTCAAAGATGAAGAGGAGATTGAAGCAACGGAAATGTGGTTCTACAGATGGATGCTGAGGATACCATGAACTGAACATGTGACCAATGACAAAGTTTTGGTGAAAATGGCAATAAAAATGAAACATATTTAACATTAGGAAGAGATAGTTGAGGTTTCTGGGGCATGTAATGAGGAAGGAGGGCTTGGAAAATCTGATACTCACAGGACAGATAGAGGGCAAGAGGGAAACAACGCATAACATATTTAGTGAGCTTGAGTAAATGGATGACAGAATAGGGCTTAGGAGAGATAACAGAAAGACAAAGTTTATTAAAAGCTACAAGGGGCAGAAAGTTGTGGAGAGCCATGATCGTCTACATCCCAAGGGGACATGGTACAGTAAGATTTCAAGCATCCAAATTAAACTGTAGCCAAGGAAAATTTCTATTTTCTCTTCTGAAATTAATTTACATTGGAGCTCATTTATCAAGTGTAACCCGGATATAAGAGACCCAGATATAAGAGAAACCCGGATATAAGAGAGATTTTCTCTGGTCCCAAATTAGGACCTGTGTTAATGTATATAAAATAGACCAAACCCGGATATAAGAGACTTCTCCGGTCCCGAAAACTCTCTTATATCCGAGTTACACTGTATTAAAAAGAAAAAAAAGATTTTCTAATATTTTGATTTTCATTCTGTGATATCGCTTTTTCTATTTGTCATTTGAGCTGTTGATAAAGACAAATGTTTTCTTTTTACGAAGCGTTTCAGATTCAGTTGAGAAAGAAGACCTGAAAATGACGGATTCAGATTTTGAAAACTATGTGAGAGCTCTGAAATCCTCATCTGCCAAGAGAGAGCACCCTGATAGTGAGGTGCTGGTGTTACATCTGGAAAAGTCTAAGCGACCTCATTCAGCCATACCAATCATCCAGATGTCCAAGACAGATCTGGAGAAAGAAGGGCAGCCAGATAGATATCCTTTGTTAGCGACAAGAAAAAACATGTTCTCCAAGGTCATAAGAAAATCACCTGTGTCTACTCAGTGGAGTAGCAGAAACAGCAGGTATGTGCTTTGCTATAATTTACCTTGAGGTCTTCACAAGAGAGAAGAAGAGAGAGAGAGAGGAGAGAGAGAGAGAGAGAGAGAATAGTTGATGAAGGAGAGAATTTTCACTACCCAAATTTAAAAAAATATAACAAAACATATTTATTTTAACTCACCGTTCTCCAAAAAATTGAATAAAACATATATTTTACATACATATATAATACATACATAAATACATACATACATACATATATATATATATATATATATATATATATATATGTATGTATATATGTATGTATGTATGAGATTCCACCCTCACCTCAACCTCCGCAAAATAGATATGATGTTTTGTTATATGGTCAGATTTTTGGAGAACTGATGAGTTCAAGAAGTTTTCAGCTGTTGGACTGAATACATTTCAAATTATATATAAGTTTTCAGTTGTTGGACTGAATACATTTTATATTATATATATATATATATATATATATATATAAATATGTAATGTATTCAGTCCAACAACTATTTAATATATTTTTTGTTTATACGTATATATATATATATATATATTCAAGCATGTTTGGTTAAATAATTTAGACGTATCATGTCTATTTATTTTAGTTTTATTGCTTTTGACTCCATGAATTAATTTCTTGGTGGCTGTAGAAAATTGATGAAGAAAATTTACAAAATTTTCTTTCAAATAATTTTTATTTTCCCAAGTAATTTCAATCTAATAAGAAATGGCTTGTAAAACTTTCAAAACAAAATGGATTCAAAATATTTCACACTTGTGTAAGCAAAGGGGGGAAACTTAAAATGCGTCTTTTTTTGTTCTTAATTTTTAACATTGTGAAAGAGAATTTTTGTTATTATTATTATTACCAAAAATAAAGAAAGTCCAAGAAAATTGTCATTAATTCTCATCTTCCTCCTGAGAATTTCTTTGCAGGTGGGCACCTAAAATTATTTTCAGCACCTGTTTGATGTTCATCAAACAACTGTGAGAAAAAAACTGTTTATAAAAGTATTTTTGGATTGTATCTTGAATTGTACATTTAACAGCGTCTATCATAAATTTTAAACTTAATAAATCAAAAAGGAAGGATTTGAGGACATATATTTATATACCCTTTTGTCCTTGTTTTGGTGTGAGGAACCCGCTCTGAAAGTTTGTGAAAATATTTTTGATGCACCTATATATATATATATATATATATATATATGTATATATATATATATACACACACTCATTAATTATTAGTTCTGCCAAACTCACCAATTGTCTCTACCTATCCTGATTATGACTTATTTGTAGCACTTTCTCCTGAAATTGTCTTGAGACAATTTCTGACAGAATTTCTTCCTTGCCTTATAAGTATTATTCATAATTTGGAAAAAGTTGATCAGTAAAAAGTAATTGAAACCAAATGTCTGTTGTTTTAATAATATTTGTCTTAAAGGACATTTACTGCCTACCCTAAATACAGAATATATATATATATATATATATATATATATATATATATATATATATATATATATCATTACATCTGAGGCAAAACAATCAAACAATTAAGACACAAGGGTTTACTGAATATGAAAGAATAGCAGAAAAAGAAAAGCATTATTATGGAGAGAGAACAATAAAAGATAATGATTGCCATTGCATTTAAATTGTTTTTTTTAAATCTTTTTTTCATTTGTATTAAATTCTAGTCTCCTTTTTTTCCCTCTTGCTTTAAATCGATATTTTAAATATGTCTGTGTTATGCATTTGTTGATAAACCAGATTTAAGATTAATTTATAGATCAGATTTAATCAGATTTTAAGCCAGATCCATCTGACCTTGACAAGTGATTTGTCTGTGAAGCACGTCATTTGAACCTTTATTAATTCATTGATTATTGTCACTCCAGTTGTTTATTGAGAATTTTCTTGAAAAGAAAGTCCATTCATCTTGAAATATATGAAAACCTAATAATTTTACATAGTTCTGTTATTTATTTATGTTATTGCAACATATGTTTCTTGAAAAAAAACTGACAAACTTCTTTTGTTTTGATTTTTATTATATTATTTTTGTATGCCTACATGTGTCTTGTGGCAAACTTGCATCAGTACACATACAAGAGAGGCCTTGGATCGCATGCAGACATGTTTGCTAATTTACATCTGGGTTTTTCCCATTAGCAGGGGGAACAGTTTGTCATGTCTAACTAGATACAGGCCTCTCTGGAATTGGTCAAGATGCGAGCCTTTGTAAGATGACTCATGCCAGTAAAAGATGGAGGAAAAACAGCAGTTGGCAAGACATGGTGTCTTTTGAAGTTGATCCTGTGGGTATATTGTTCCTCAAGTTGTTGTGGTTTCCGAGGCAGTGTTTATTTTTTGTTACCTCCTATCCCTATTTCCTCCTATTAATATCCCCCTATTAAACCCTGTAGTTTTTGGGAGAGAAAGCAGTCAGGTGTTTCCCCACCAATCTCAATGAACAGGAGGATGAATTCTCATACACTCACATGAGGAAATTTTTCATAATGCCGATTTTATATCTAAGTCATGCTGAGCAGCTGCTGCTGCTGCTGATGATGATGATGATTATATCTCAGTGGACATTGACTTGTAAAATTAAGGTGGCAAATGTTTGTACTTGTGAATTTTTGTATAAAAAATGTCTTTAATGAAACTTATATATATATATATATATATATATATATATATATATAAGTATATAATTGGTATATACGGAATGAATTCCAATAACCAACAATTACTATTCTTAAAATAGTGCTCAATACAAAGTAGAGCAGATATAATTATTTTTTATAAAAAAAAAAAAAAAAATTATAACATAAATATGTAAATATGTTATAAAATCACTACAAAAATAGCCATTTTGTTTCAACACCCCTGGTGTCTTATCAAGTATTTTTGTAGTGATTTTATAACATATTTATGTTATAATTTTTTTTTTTTTATAAAAAATAATTATATATATATATATATATATATATATATATATACAGGGGGTACCAAAAATACTTATACAAACTTTGGGATGGGCTTATATTACAACATATCTTCTTTTGTGGACAAAATGAATATAAAAATTGTCCAAATGACTGTTGGTTCTGAGTGCTTTTGTCTAAACTGTTTGCCATTTTCAAGGATTGTTTTTTGTTTTCCTGTAGCAGTATAAAAAAATGAGTTTTGAAGATAGTTAATAGTTTATTCAAAAGAGCTCAGCATACAGAAGGCTGGCCAGAGGGTGCGAATTCATATCAGGAGGGCATCCAATCAAAGAGTGAAATAAACATTTAGTTTATATTTTATTTGAATAAAGTGTTTATTTCCTGTTTCATCTGTTTTGTACAAATTTAAAATGTCTTCCTTTCTCACATTTCTCAGTACTAGGCCCTATAGGCTCCCCCCTACTTGAGTCTTAAGGGAATACAATTAATGAATTGGCCTTGGGAATCACCAAACATCAAGCCTCTGCATGTCACTGCTCAGAAGCACTATTTGGCCATTTTTACATTCATTAAGCCCTGAAAAGGAGACACTTCTAACCATAAAAGAAACAGACACATATATATATATATATGTGCATATACACACATGTATGGGCATACACATATGCAAACACACACAAAGAAAAAAAATCAACCTAACACTAATAACAAAAATGAGAAAATCAGTGGGCAATTGCTGATACGTCTTGATGAGTGGACCAAATGAGTACCAAAAGGTTTGTGTAAAAGGTCCTTGACAAAATCCAGAGACATATGCAATGGGATTGGTCCTGATCTGACATCTCTTTTACTTTTCTCACAGACATGCCATCGCTTCCTTGTCTTTTCTACAAATACTTTCATGGTAACTACTCCGACGAGCTACTTTTGCTAGGGCTACTAGGCTGGCATCTCTGTCCCACCCTTTCACTGTTGAAACGGTTAAATGTAGCCGTTTCTTCTACTCCAATAGCTTCATGTCTCGTACCTTCCGCCTGTGGAATTCCCTTCCTATTACTTGTTTCCCTGATAGCTATAATCTCCAACTATTCAAATGTAATGTCAATCGACATCTCCAGATGCCTTGATTTATTCCCTGTCTTTCTCTTCATCCTTTCCTCTATCATTCCTCTTTACTCTTGCTCACACTCTCTATAACCCCTTGTGTGCTAGTGGCATCCTGCCTTGCTTGGGGTGAAATGCTTAAGAATAAACTATATATGTGTGTGCGTGTGTGTGTGTGTGTGTGTGTGTGTGTGTATAATAAAAATACATTTTACTTTTTGCTGTTGAATAGTTGTTAATCAAACTCACTAATTCAGCACTGAAGGTCTGTATCCATTATTTGACTGATTTTAAATCTTATTCCAGATGCTGAAGTAAGATGAATTAAATTTCTAATTACCAAAAGGAAGGATGTATTGATGCCTCTAAATCCTTGTTTGTTAATAAAATCTGCCAGATACTTTCTTTAGAATTGACTAAAACTATTTTCTGAATTGAATGATGTGGGAAGAATTGTAGGCCAATTTTTGGACATGGCCAAAATCTGTCAAGAATCTAAAATTTATGGACTTGAAGGAAATATCATCAATTAATGAGGGTCAGTTTGAAATCAACTTTGAAAATCTTTATTAAATGAAGAAATTCTTCATATATATGATATATACAATATATACTTTATATTCATATATATATATATATATATATATAAGGTTTGATAAAAAGTATTTCGATATGATCAAAAAGTTTTGCCACTATGCTAATGGAGCTAAAGTTTGTAAAGTGAAAAGGCTTGGCACAGATTGACTTTGAACCTTGTTGCGCATGTATACTAAGTTATAATATTCTTGCTAACTTCCATTGTTTATATGAGGGCTTGGAAGGAAAGTGTGTAGAGTATTGTTGTCTTACTATACCACAAATATTCATCATTGACCATGGCTTGTGCAGCAGTTTTGCACCAAGTGCAGAAAAGAAACTATTAGAAAAGAACTACTGGTTGCATTTGGCTAGTTCAACAGTAATGATTCTTGCATCAAACTCATTGCCAATCTAGTAACATGTTTAAATTCATGCAGTTGTGGCATTAAGGAGGACAGCTCACAGAAAAAGAATTGTTGTTTAGGACAACAGATTCTAAAGACATGTATTATCCAGTAAAAGTGAGTTTATGGTATACAGAAGAAACAAAAAAAGAAATAAGTTTCTGACCTTTGTACTAACACATTCAGAAAAGGCAAAACTCTTTTGTTCTCCTTTTTACATGTAGACGTTAACACAGGGTGTAATATATTAAGCAATCCATGAAAAAGCTCAGCCCACTCCTCGCTATAGTTGATGTTTTTGCTTATTTTATTTTATTTTTTTTCAGTACTGATGTTGACTCTGGGCATTGTTTGTCTGGAGGGGATGCATCTTGCAGGGAGGAAAAACATGAAAGTGCTGCGACTGCATCTGCTGATGTATTCCACAGTATGCAGAAAAAGGCAGAAGAGAAGAAGCGAGAAGCAGCAAAAGCAGCCTATATTAGTAAGTTATCATTTGAATATCTTTGTGCAACTAAAAGTTTAAATTAACCACAAAAAAGAATATTTGGAGGTAATTTCAGTGTATATATATATATATATATATATATATATATATATATATCATCATGAGAATGACCCTACTTTGAAAAATATTAGTGTTATAATGAACTATATTATATACTGTGACATCACCATATTTTCATGCTTAGTTTAAACCCCCTCTGCTTTTTATGGTCCTGGGTATGACGACAGACTACATCTGGCAGCAAATCCTCTAATTGGAAGATTGGAGTTTTTTAGGAGTGTGGAACTGCCTCTTAATTGCTGTTGTATTCATGTCCATTTTGACCAGGGGTGGTAGCACATGTTAGGGTCCCAGCTATGGGCACATAATGAATCCCCAAACAAAAACAAAACACTATGAAAGTATTAAAATACATTTTTATAGTAAAAATACTAGCAATACATTTTTATATAAAAAATTACCAACAATACATATTTCTAGTAAAATTACCAGCAGCACATTTTTAAGCAAAATTACCAACAATACATTTAATCTGTAGTTGAAGCCATGAAATTGTTAAAAATATTTACATATCGGCATTTCATAATCCATAGAGTTTTATATGCTGCTAAACAAATTCAACCAAGTGGCACTGAAAAACTTCATTTTTAAATTTTTCAGATTTTGGCATTAAATAAACCATAGAGGTTGATATGCTGCTAAACAAAACCAACCAACCATTAAACAAACTAAAGATTTCTAGAAGCAGAGGAATAATATTTGGCAGTCAGTGTTTGTATTGAAAATCATGAAAAGTAACAATGATCAAAGGGTAGTAATTAAGTGAACTTTTACTTTTTTTTTAATTGGTATCACCCCAAACAAGGTAGTAAAGCCACTAAGACACAAGGGGTTACAGGGTGTGGAAGAATTACAAACAGAAACATTAATAATAAGTGAAAAGAGGAAAGAGTAATCAGGAGGACAGTAGATAGCAATTGACATTGCATTTAAATTTTTGTAGATTAAAGTTGGCTGGGAAGCATGAGCCAGAAGGAGGTTCTACAAGTGAGAAGTGTAAGGAAAGAAACTGTTAGTATAGAACTTACAGCTACCTCTAGCCAGCTTAACTGTAAATTGATGAGATCTTGACGCCAGTCTAATACTGTACTTAAATTCATAAAGACTAGGTACCATACCAAGGAGGTCATCCAAACAATTATGATGAAAGTATTTATAAAAAAAGGCATGGAGAAGTAAACTTACAGCAGTTGGTAAATGACTGAAGCTGAGATGCCAGATCAGGACCAATAATATTGCTGATTCTTCTTTGGATCCTATCAAGGAGCTCAAGGTAAATAGCAGAGGCATTGGACCATATGTGGCAGCAATATTCTAAGTATGGACGAATGGTAGACTTATAGATATGTAAGATAGATTAAAGAGAGAAAAAATGTCTCGCAAGACTCAGTGGATTGAGCTAGCAATGGATTTTATATAGTCTTTCTATTTCATGTCAGCTGAGAATGTTAGCCTGAGAAGGCACACTGAGTCACTTTCATGGAGGCATGCTGATGGAAAGCAGAGAGGGGTCTCTCGGACGATTAATGGAGGGAATTTAGTTTTGGAGGAATTAAAATTAGCAAGCCATCTTTTGCCTCAATGGTCATTTTGAACATCAGCTTCCTTTTTGACCTTGTGGGACTGATCAGCCTTACTATTGAGGCATGATTAAATCGTTGTGTCATCAACACAGATTCCAAGTTGGGAGCTGATGTCATCAGGAAGGTCATTAATGAAAATTAAAAACAGTGTAGGACCAAGGATGGAGCCCTGGGGGGACCCCTGTGTTAGTACGAAAGGATCTAGATGAGTGGCCATTCAGGATAACTTTCATTTCAGGATTTTATAGGAAAGACTGACTGAGCGCAAAAATGTGTCCAGAGACACCATAACTTTTCAACTTGTGTAGAAGACATGTATGCCAGACCCTGTCAAAAGCTTTTGAGATGTCCGATGTTACAGCCCAGGCTTCACCATTTTTATCTAGGGCTCTTTCTGCAATTATCATCAGGATATCAGTAGTTGATCTGGAGAAACGAAAACTGTATTGCTTGTCTGAGAAAAGATCCTGCGATGGGAGATGATTAACCAATTCAGCATTGATTAGGGCCTCTAGAAGTTTCCCAAAAAGAGGTAGCAGGCTAATAGGCTGATAGTTGGAAGAGTTCTTAAAACTGGAACAACAGATGATAACTTCCAGCAGGCAGGAAAGCAGGAGGCAGTGAGACATTTATTATAAAGTTTAGAGAGAACAGGAGCCAGTTCAGGAGTTGTAATGGAAAGAAGTCTTATGGATAGGGGGGGTTCCTGTTTATTAACAGAATAGGGTTATTAGAAACCTTATTTGACAGTATATCAAAATACACTCCCCACAAAAAATGGCTCAAAATATCACTCACCATCTTGTTTTTTATACTATTGTTTACTCAATACAAGGCCTTAAGGTAGATGAATACTGAATGAGGCAATTGTAAGGTTGTATAGAGACATTAAAGGATGTATGGAATATCAATTTCAGTGGCTGGTCATAGGGATGGTGGTCAGGCATAAGGGCATTATCAGGGGTTGACGTATTCTTGAGTGGGTTTTGGTGTGAGGTCATGTTGGTTGATCGACGTCATGGTAGAGGGTAGTATATTGTACTGATATGTCGAAGCTAGGTGAAATGTCAATTCAATAGTAAAGTGATAGGACCTTGTTGCTAATCTAGTATTGCACTTAAATTCATAAAGTCTAGGTACCATAGCAAAGAGCTCATCAGAACATTTACCATGAAAGTATTCATAGAAAAGTCACAGAGAAGCAACTTTATGGCAGTAGGAAAATGACTGGAGTTGAGACGCCAGGTCAGGACCAATAATATTGCTGATTCATCTTTGAATTTTATCAGGAATCCTTAATGTGGCAGCAATATTTGAAGTATGGAGGAATGGTCGATTTATAGATATGTAAACAGATATGATTCAATAAGAATTTCACAGTAAGTGCTCATTCAAGTTTTTCCTACACTTTTTTGTTTTTTCTTTTTTTTTAGAAAGTCTTTCTTTAAATGTTTTCCAATATAAAGAGAGAAAAACATTTTTCTAAATAACTGGTCACTTGAAGAAAAAAGACAATATTTTCAAGTTGAATTCAGTTTTGGGACAGATAAAAATGTGTTGTGACCAAGTAAATGGTTAAGTAATAACAAAAACCAGGTTTGCAGATATATTGTATATTAAACAGTAAGTACACCAGAAGAGTACTACATGACTAGTGAGAGTGTATTGAATGAACTAGCACTCAATCTATTCACAGTTCACTATATGCTGTTCCACGAAGCCTTCTGTCCTACTAACCTTATAGCAAGCAGAAGAGTCTAACATAGACTCTTTAGAGGGAGGATACCATAACAAAAAGAAATGCCTTTTTTTTAAATTAAATTCTCCGTGTGAAATGCACTGAAGCCACTGAAACACAATGGGTTACCTGGTGTGAGAGAATTAGAAAACAGAAGCATAATTTAAAAGCGAAAGACAGTAGTTAACAATTACATTTGAATTTTTGAAGATCAAACTTGTCTGGAAAGCAAGAAGCCAGAAGAGAGTTCCTCAAGTGAGAAATGCCAGAAAAGAAACTGTTAGAGTCTGTCTATATTTCTGAGATGAGGTATTATGTACATTATTTACATTATTCGGACTATTGTCCTCATCTTTGTCACCATATTTATCACAACAGCCTTATTCAGGTGATTGGAATGTCAAACTGAACCCTTTATTTCGCTCACTGGGGTAGACTGTTCTAGTTCCATGTGCCATGTTTGATGGAGGTCAGTTATCAGTTATCTCCTGCTAATTTCCCTCTTAAAGTTCTCCACTGCCTTAACCGGGTATTGAACTCACACTCTTTGGGTCTAACCAATGCCTTTATCCACTGTGCCATGTGTCCTTGGCACAAGAAACTGTTAGCATAGAACTTACGGTTACATCTAGGCAATTCAATTGTAAGCTGATAAGAGCCTTGTTGCTAATCTAGTACTGCACTTAAATTCATAAAGTCTAGGTACCATAGAAAAAAATAATTTAGGAAAGGAGAAGCATTAGGAGTTCCAAGATGAAGAAGACTTTAGAAGGAACTGGAAATCCAATCCTAAACAGGAAACAAGGAATCAGCCTCTAATCCTGCTCAAAAGACCAGGGCAGAGTATGAACCTGACAACAGCTGAACCTAACTACTCCTTCCATATAAAAAACTCAATAAAGATATCCAACCTGGTAAGGGTATACCAAGTATGTATATAAGATTCATGTGATATAGTTATTTTCTAAGCATAGCTTAGATGTGGCACAAGGCCAAAAGTATGGGGCACCTAGTGAGGATCGAACTCACTTTTCAGTAGTAACTGATCTAGCGAGACAAGCTTGCTAACCATTACACCATGCCGAGGTGCCCCAAGATGCATGTGATATATGTATAACAGGTTTTGTTAAAAGAAGCATAGGACCCAATTAGAAACATGTTCATGTCAAAGGCCTTTGACAAGGTGTGTGACATCGAGGGTTGCTAACTCTCCAGCTATGGAATCTCTGAAAGTGTCATCTCACTTATCAAATTTTTCCTATCAGCTAGGTCTATGTAGGCCATTGTTAATAGCCAGTCTTCTGAAGAACAGGAGATCAATGCTGGCATACCCCAAGGCTCTCTTCTCAGCTCTACCCTCTTACTTCTTTGTATTAATGATCTGCCAAAGAACATTCTCACTTCGCTTTCCTTTGTTCCTAATGAAATTTTCCTGTTTCTTAATACTTTGCTTAGCTTTCAGTTGGTTACTTTCACTATCTCAATCCACCTTCAGGTTTCAGTGTTGCATTTCCATAAATATATTTTAGTAAATACTAGCAGTAGAGCCCGGCGTTGCCCGGGGATGTAACAGTAAGAGATAGATCAAGTATCGA